TCTCTCTCTCTCTCTCTCACACACACACACACACACATGTGACAAAACAGAGATTGTATGCCATGCTAGTTTTGCATTTGTTTTTGTTCTTGCAATCTTTCCAGATATGGTTTCTCCTCATCTGTATTGTAATCTCAGAGTTTCATGAAATTAATGAATACAGCATGTTCTGATTTTCTGAGTGATATCTGAAATAAGATGATTGGCTGTCACCAGTACTTTTTGATACTTACATTGGGTAGTCTTAAGCAAGGCCTAGTTTTATTCCTTCTGATTCTGTGAATAAGATGATTGGCTTAATTACAGGCAGCATAATAATTGTTCAATGACAATGTTCATATGTTCAATATATTTCTTTCTGAATCTGATGATGAGTATCTTCTTTTGTACAAAGACTCATTTAGCTACAACGGAAGTCTTTGTTGGCATATGATCATATCACTAATCTATTGTTTAGGATTCCCCAAACATATGTTCTATAACTAAAAAAAAGGAAAAGAAAAACAGGTATGTTCCTCCAGATGCTCTTTGTACTTTTCCTGCTCTGATGACTACAAAATAAAGGCATTCTAAAACGAAATATTCATATCTACTTTGTTTAAATAGCATCATATATGTCAAGTAATTAAGGAACAATAAACTATGCTATCATTTGGGTTTCCCAAATTTAACTTTCACTCCCCTTCCCCGTCCCCCTACCATTAGATCTTTAAAGGGGGTTGGGGTTTTGGAGGAACATCCCCCTGTTCAAATTCTATGCAAAAAAAAAAATGGACTTTCACTGAGAATGATGACTTATTATCTGTTCTCTCTGTTGATGACATTGTATGGTTGTTAACTTAATATGGTTGGAGAGGCGCTAATGTACTGCAAGAAACCCCAAATGATAGCATATGCTAATAAGAAAAATGACTCATGATTTTCGACCCATTAGTTGAAAAACACCGCCACCTATCAAGAAAGATAAAGCCTTCTTCTGTTTAAAAAGATTTAAGAAGCAAAGAAATCCTCTTTACTAATTTATGCCCTGTTCTGCCTTAAATGTCAACTGTAAGACGGCATAATACTGATGTTTCATAATGTTAGTATCCGAAAACAGTTCAATCGGTTGGCAAGCCAAAGATACCCTATTTCTAGGTAACTGAAGAGGAGTTTCAGATAATCGGTTGGCAAGCCAAGGACACCTTATTTCTAGGTAACTGAAGAGGAGTTCCAGGTAATTGGCCATATGAGGTTCAACAATCGTAAAGATAAGGCTACACTGGATAAAGAACTACTGGTTCAGTCATTTAGGCGTGGGCCTGATACCCCGAAATGAAAGCTGAGATATTGGATATGAGGGCTGATAGATCCCATAAATGCAACAACAAATGTATATTGTTTCAGGCAGGGCATGATCTGTTAGTATCAGCCGATATATGCGAGCAAGTTGAAAGCTGACCACTAGGAAAAGAGGGACAGTCATTTTCAGCTGATGATGATAGGGGATTTCTTCCCGAAATTGAATGAAACAAACTTGTTTAATGATGATTCTGGTTGAATGAAATAAGCATGTTTAATGATGTTTCCAAAAATGGTTTGGCAAAATAAGAGCAGAACTTGAGGTCTTAAAGACATTCTATGCTCAACTAACCACAAAGCCATTGATGTATCATAAACGTACAGAACGTTCTATGGATGTTGGTGATCAAGTCAACTAACCACAAAGCCATTGATGTAACATAGACGTACAGAACGTCCTATGGATGTTGGGCATTAAGGCCCGTCTCGATGTTCTGATAAGCTACTGCTCAAGGCTCACATATTGGCAATGGAATAATGGCACCTGTTTTAAAGGTGGGCACCATCTTCTTCTGTGTACAAATTTGGCTTGTCACTGTATTAGCCCACTTCATATCACTCTTCCTACGTGCATCATCATCACCAAAGTTTTTTTTCAACTATTTGGGGGGGTTGCCATTTTTTCTCTCTGCGTGCTGGGCGTAAATTTGTACAAATATATGCTAAATGCTGACTGGAGCGTTCAATGTATCAATCATTGGCGCATTTTGCATTTTTTATTTTTAGTTTTTTGGCTTAGGGCACCCCACTTGAGGTGTGATATATGTGCCATATGTAACATGTTGGAAGTAAAGAGCGATCCATGCAAGAAACTCTTGTAAATCTAGTGTAATAGTTTTTATTGATCCATGCAAGAAACTCTTGTAAATCTAGTGTAATAGTTTTTATTACTTGTTGAATGCACTGATGAATAAAACTGGTTGCTGTTGGGAACATGCGAGTGAATTGGGCTTTTTGTTTTTTGTGTTTTTAAATATTAAATGTAAATTTCATTAGATGAACTCCATAATTACAAAAGAGAGGAGGAAATAGAAGTATAGAAGTTGGTACTCCCTACTTCCACAAATGAACCACCACAACCTCCAAAAACAACACAAAACTCAAACTCAAAGGATCCTAATTTTTACCCATTATCTAAGATCCCAAGAACTCCAACACAAAGCACTCTCAAATAGATTCACCCTATGAACTCCCAACCTAAACCAAGCTACTCAAAGAAACAACCTATACGCATTTTCCTTCTGCAATCACCTCATGCGTTGGGAATGGAGTGGTGTACAGCCTTTGCTGAATCGGCACCCATATGAATAGCAAGCAAATCATGGCAGCATACAGGAGGTGCCAGCGCATACAACCAGCAACCAAAAAATCGGAACAAAAGATCGGTCCAAGGAGGAGCATGACAGAATGAGAATAAATAAGGGGAAAGATAAAGTGAAAGATCAAGATGGAGGAGCATGGGACCTAAGAAAAAAGAAATAAGGAATCCAACTCAGACAGCTCACCAAAGGAAAAAAGAAGGGCTCTTTGTTTTTCCATGCCAAGAAATTTTGTTTCATCAAAGGGAAGACTAACCTAAAGCATAGGCCCCACAGTAACACATCCCGAATCTCCTACTTGAATCTCTCTAATCCCTGAAAGTAACATATCTTGTTACAAGTTAAGTGAATCTTTGAAAATTTAGCACAACAAATTTCACAAACCTCTAATGCGATATTTGTTCTTAATGACACAGAGCAAGAGAACTGGGGTTTGAATGTAACACAGGACGAGAGAGAATATTAAAAGTCAAATTGGAGGACCTACTATGGAAGGAGGAGATGTTTTGGAATCAAATGTGAAGATCCAAATGGGTCAAAGAAGGAGATAATAAGACAAAGTAGTTAATATGCAATAGCTAATTCCATAAGTAGAACTAATACTATCAGGGGAATATCTATTCTAGGTATTGTCGAAGATGATTATCCAGGCACAGAGGGAACTATTGTCGAGTTCTTTAGAGATGCTTTCAAGACTGAGCCCAGGCTAAAGTTTAATTTGGACCAGGTTAACATTTAAGACGATCTCAGTGGACAATGCTAGGGAATTAGAAAAGGAATTCTCTAAGGAAGAAACTAAGAAAGCTATGTTTAGCCCGTGGATAGATAAAGTGCCTGGGCCAGATACATTCCTACTGGTCTTCTTCTAAGAATTCTGGGATATACTCAGCGATGACCTATTCTCCTTCCAAGAATTCCACGACAGAAGAAATGTCAATAAAGCTCTAAATTCGACTTTCATTACTTTTATCCCCAGGAAACACACTATATGAACCCTTCACGATATTAAACCTATTAGCTTGCTCTCAGCCAAATAAGATACTTGCTAGAGTATTGGTTAATAGACTGAAGAAGGTGATGCATGAAGTAGTCACTAGCCATCAATCAACATTTATAAACGATAGACAAATTATAAATTGTATTCTAGTGGCCCAGGAGGTGATACACTCTGTTAATCAGTCACGACTGCAGGGAGTTAAGTGCTACCAGTTAATATCAGGGGCAAAAATTAACTACAATAAAATGATTCTCATGGGGTTCAATTGCTCAAGCACGAAAATTAGCGATTGGGCGCAATGGATGGGACGTGGCTATAAATCCTTACCTATCAAGTACGTGGGACGACCAATAGTGGAAGGTAGGCTAACTGATGCAGGATGGGATCAAGTAATACCAAGGTTCCATGCAAAATTGGACTGGTGGAAATGTCGTTATCTGTCGCTTGGAGGCAGAATAACCCTGATCAACGCTACTTTGGCCAATCTTTTGGTATATCATTTCTCCCTCTTTAGAGCACAGACACAATAATATTCCAATTGGAAGAAATGATATGAAATGCCTTGTGAAGTGGAGGGAAGAAGAGGAAAAAATTTAACATGGTCATATGGATAGAGGTGTAACTTCCAAAAAGCAACGGAGGATAGGGTATAAGAAGGCCTAAGATAGTCAATGAAACCATCTAATAAAATGGTGGTCGAAGCTAGCAATCGGGGAACTACATCTTTGGAAGACGGTGCTTTTTAAGAAATATGCACAGATATAACTGGAATGAACACTAGAATGAAAACAAGAGGTCTCTCAGTAGTGTAGAAAGAAATAGAGATAGTAAGACCCATGTTCTTAGCCTATTCCAGGATTCTTGTATATGATGGAGGAAAAATCAACTTTTGGTCAGCTAAGTGGATTGGTGATTGCCCCCTCAAGACCAGATTCCCAAAACTCTAAAACTTATCGAATAACGAAAGTTGCCTTCTAAGAAAAGTGGTACAGGGAGAGGTAATACAGGTAGTTTGGGACATCAAATTGAGGCAAAGGGGGGTTAATGCTTTAGTAGCACTACAAATTCTCAGAATTTACGACCATGCTATACAACTGGTTCCGTCATCTTAATGAGACAATTATTTGGGAACTCAATCCAAGTGATAATTTCATGGTTAGATCACTTTATGTTGTATTAAGTGCTAACAAGTCTTTTAATATATAGCCAGGGGTGACCACGGTATGGAACTTAAAAATTCCGCATCGAATAAAACCTTTTTTGTGGTTGTTGGGTAGAAACATAGCATTATCAATCGAACAATTGAGGAAAAGAGGGATGGTCATCATTAACATATGTATTATGTATAGGGATTCAACAGAAACAAATGACTATTTGTTTTTCACTTGCCTTTTTCCTCTAACATTTGAGGATGAATCCTAAAGCAAATTCAGTGTACCTGGGTGGTACCTCAAAGAGTGGAGCAGAAACTATGACAGACAAATTATATGCCTTGTTCTAAACTTAGATTGTGGTTGCTGCTACATTTTGGCAGATATGGAAGGAGAGGAAAAATAGAACTTTTGCAGGCAAACAACAAGATATTGGGGTCATCAAGAAGACTATACGCGCACTAATAATTCATTGGGTCAGGCAACTGAAGGACTAAAGGATGTTGCTAAAGAGCAATTTCAAACAATTCTACGGGACTTATTTGTATTTAGAAAAGCACAAGATCAGAGGCAGTAGTATGGCACCCTCCACAACCATTTTGGGTCAAGTTCAGTTTTGATGGCAGCATGAGGTAGGATGGGGAAATAGCAAGTTTTGGAGGGCTACCGTGAGATGAAAAAGGCCAAATCATATGGACAAATCAGGGACCATTGCCATCGTGCCAGATTAACTAGGATGAGCTCATGGCATTGAAATATGGAGTACTAAAACAGGAGGAACGATAACTAGAAGAATAATACCAGAAAGTGGTCGTTGAGGGTGATTCAGCTAATATGGTTAAATGGTGTAGGAAACCTGCGACCATTCCTTGGGCACTGAGTAGTATTATGGATCAGATTTGTTGTTCTTTAAGGGGGAGGAAGGTACTCTTTGCACATGTTAATAGGGAGAGGAATTCTGATGAAAATGCTTTAACAAAAGCTTCCACTATGATGTAATTTTTTGCTTTTCTTTGGGGTTACATCTGGGCTTCTCTTTGTAACTTTCATTCACCTAATGAAATTTAGTTAATGTTCATAATATAAAAAAAATGAATCATCCATTTTTTTAGTATTCACAAATTCATAGGATCTGCACCATTTTTAGAGATTTGAAAATGACTTTGGAGTTTTGTTTTCCAATACCAAATATGCATTTTCCAGGGAAGACTTTAATGTTTTATTCTAAAGCCGACCACCTCGTGGGTAATTGTTCATTGTACAAGCCTAAGCCCCGGTGGGTCTCGAATTACGTCATATATCAAGTTATTTATGAAAGGGTGCGGTTTCCATAAGGTTGCAACTTTAAAAAATCCATTTAAAGTGCACCTTCAAATTTTATCCTAACATATAATTTTGATGCAAAATATTTTTAAGATTATCTCGAAATCTATTTTTATATCTAATTAAAATATTTTAAACTGCAAAAATGATTAAAATCAAATAGATCTATGTACATATGAAAATCTTGAAAATTGACAGTCTAGATAATGTGTTGTAAGATACACTATTTTTGGGACTCAAAATCTTTTTTTTTTTCACAATCATTCATCTCAATATCGAGATGATCAATTAGAGGGTTTTTCAATATTAAAACAACCTTTTCACGTGGATTTTTGAGGTGCATCCCTAGTTCTACGTTTTAAGGTTGCAACCTTATATAAACTTTTCCCTTAATGAAATACAAAATTTTTACCGACGATAGAAGCTCATTCCAAACTTAAATACGAGTTTGTTAATCATGCAAGAAAGGGAGGCTGTTAAATCCTAAAGGGCTTAATATCACAGTTATTAGGATCGAACTAGTCATTGAACAAGTGAGAGATCTGATTCAATCAAAACCAGTTTGATTTAATCAATCATACCATATTTAAAGACAAAACTTAAAATACAAAATATGCTAAAAGAAAAGTTTCTAAATTTGTTAATTTCTATAGCCCAAACCCAACCGATGTCTCTCCTTTCTCACTCATTCTTTCTATTTGAAAGGCTCTCATTCTCTCTCTTCTCCCTCGTTCTCTCATAGACTCTCTTTAAAACCCTCCCCCTCTAATTCTCTCAAAAACTCATCAAATGTAGGTAGAGTTGGTGGCAATACTTGCTCTAGCTGATGATGCAATAAGCAATCTCTCTCTCATGATTTTGCAAAAAATAATTTTTTTTATTACCTTTTTTTGGGTGGTTGTCATCGTTTTTTGCATGTTAAAATGGTGTTGGGCAAGAACAAGAAATTTAATCATGTGCAATGGTGATTGATAGGTTTCATAATTGATATTGTGGACACACATGGAGTTGAGGACTTCGATGATTTAGAGTCAGAGAGGGACATTCGTTATAAGGTGAGGTTTGAATAAGGTGCCCACCTTAAACCATACAAGTAACGCGCGCCTCTAAATTTTATCATAAGATATAGCTTCGGTGTTGAAAATCTAACAATTATTTGGAAATCCATGTCCAACCTTAATTATAAATTTAAAATTTTAAAAAGGTGCATATAGAGCATATCTATAAATAATTAAAAATCTTGATAATAGACCATCTAGATAACTTGATTATAAGATGCATTATTTTTAGGATTTGAAATTCTTCCATACATCTCGAGGTTGAGATGATTAATTAGAAAGTTCTCCAACTTCACAACACTCTTCTCTTTAAAAAAAAGAGAGATAATTGAGGTGCGGGTGCAGTTGGCATACAGATGCATCCGTAGCTGTGGAGGTAAAATGCACCTTCAAATTTTATAAAAAAAAAACTAAAAATAAAATACTTCGAAACGTCGGATCTAAGATCAAACGGTGAGTGGCTCTTGATCAAAATGGGATGGCTAGATGGTAAAAAGATGATAGAACTTCTATGCTGTAGGGGAAGCATAGAAACCTTTCCCATAAGACTGGTTGTGATATAAGTTGTATATGTTTATTAATTGAATTGTTTCCCATAAATAAGTCTAATATTGACATTTACCCAAAGTTTTGAAACATATATTGCAGCTCAAAAATCTCATGCATTATATCTTATAATACCCAGATCAAATTCACTTCATCTTTTTAGCCCAAACAAAAGTTCAAAAAACGTTCTTATTTTTATTTTATTTTAAATCCTCTCTCTCCCCATATTTCTCTCCAAACCTATGCTGTTCTTTCAATATTGAAAAAAACATTTTAAAAATATATAATTTTATCATCTTATCACTTATTGATCTCACACCTAAATTCTCCCAAATATATTTATTTTTTGGTGTCATACCTAAATTCTCCCGAATGTTTTCATTTCCAATTATATACCTTTACGTTTTACCACTCATCCATCTCTACATCTTTATATCTACTACACTAATTCTATAGACATGTTTCTTGACTGCCCAACATTCCGCCACATAAAACAAAATTGATCTCAAAGTTGTCTTATAAAACTTCTCATCCTTGACTTCATTGGTATGTAACTTCCCACCCTTAACTTCATTGGTATGTGACATTCATATAAAATTCCAATTACACATCTCTATTTCACCTACCCAACTACCCTCAACTTCATCGATATACCACGATTACATAAAACTTCAATCAGTCATCTTAATTTCGCCATCCAAATTTAAATATATATGCGTCTTTGTCAATTTCTTCATTTTCTTAAATTATTAACCCAAATTATCGAAAAAAAATGTGCTCTTTTTTATATTTCTTGAATCCCTACTATTATTACAAAAACCGTCTAGAAGAGTGTTATTGGAAAATTCTCCCATCTGTCCATTCCAACCTCAAGATATACATAATATATCACATTCTTAGCACCACTACCAAAAAATCCAAAACAGTCAGTGTTTTTCTAATCGTTAATCCAATAACGAATCTTATATTAACGAATTTGTCAAATGTCTGAAGAGCACTCGGAAATCAAGGGTTCAAGCGGGACGAAGCTTTAGTTGGCAATCAAGGGCAATCCACGTACCCATGAAAAAAAAAATCCATGCTGACGAAGTAATGGCATCCTTCAAATACAAGAAATACTACCTTGAATACCAAATCCAACACATACACACACAAGACTCTGAGAGAGAGAGAGAGAGACCGATAACCCGTTATTACAAAATGACGCTGTATTGCTATAAAAAAAGACACGTAATAAGAAGACACTCTGGAAACTCCCTGATGAGGAAGCCCCCATTAGACCACTCATAGAGAGCAAATAAAGACCCCCCATGATCAACCCTTCCACCCCACTCCCAATAAGAGAGGGAGGGGCAGCAAGTCCCACTGTAAAAAGAGCCACTCCAAAGATTGGTAAAATGGCTCTAAAAGAAGAACAGTCTTAGATTGACCATCTCCTGATAAAAGACCCGACCCAGACCCATATAAAAGATGACTCCAGCTGAAAACCCCAGGCTCTTTACACATTCCTTGTTCAGTAAACATTAAAAAGAAAAAAAAGCCTGGAAATTTATGACGCGACCATAACTGCCACTGATCCGAGCCCAAAACTCCCCATTCATGAACAAGTGGGAGTTTTGGGAGCTTTCTCTATTTCAACACAAAACCGATCAGCAACCAACGACTCGAAAAGAATCCCGGACCCACTCCAGTGACAGACAACACCCTGCTCTTCAGCGAAAGCCCAACCCCCCATCATCCTCTGACACTTAGTATGAAACCTTCAACTTAGCACTCCGACCCAACATGAGAACCTGCATCACAGTTTAAATAAGGCAAGACCTCAATAATCACAAAGCATAAGCAAGCTATGCACAGTGTCAATGCGCAAGCACACATGTGCAAAAAGAGAGAGACAGAGACAGAGACAGAGACAGACAGAGAGAGAAGCAGGACCTGTACCATGTTCAAGTAATCACTACTAGACAAAAGGAAATCGATAGATAGCATGATGATATTTACCTCAAGGCTTCAACTGAAGTTGAATCCACCAATCGGGGGCTGGTTGGAACCAAAAGTAAAAGCAGCAGGAGCAGTTTCACCAGGTGGCAATAAGGTATCCTCATCCTCCTCTAACCAATAGGTCTCAAGAATCTTAACAGCCTTCTCATATATTTCATTGTTATCGTGGCTCTGCAAATTCTCAATCTTATCCAGACCTTCAGCATCATCGATAAGCTGAGCATAGAGGTTCACTCCATCAGTGTTTCCAAGGTTCTTTTCGGCTTCCCCAACCTTCAAAATGTTCTCAAGCCCTTCCAAGCAGACTGTAACAATACGAGGATCTGGGCAAACCAGAAGATCACAGAGTGGCCTAATGCATCCTTGATTCACCAAGTACCTGGGATTCACAACACAATACATCATTTTCTCTGAATACAAAGAAGAGTGAACAAGCATAAGTCAAAAACACTAGCCCTTTGGGGTGTATGACCACATAATGATGGCTGGTAATGAGAAGAGCTGACTGACAATTGAGTTAATAAACCAAATAATGGTCCCTCCATCATATTGGAGGCTGATGATCACAAGGAACTATTGCTTCATAAGTTTATATTATTCATTGGATCACCATGCAACATGAAAAATCAGATAATACTATGCAAATTGAAAAGAATTTGCTTCAACCAAAAAATCAAAGGTAGATTTATAAAGTCATACTTAATTTGTTCATGGGTGCCACCAGATGTGGCATTCGAAATGGCCCACGCAGCCTCTTTCTTGATATCAAATTCAGCCGTTTGAAGCAATTGAACAAGAGGTGGAATAATGTTCGCATCGATTACAGCCTGTTCATTAGGAAAGAAAATGCAAATGTAATTTCATCAAAAAATGCAAATGCAATTTTTTTTTGAGGAAAATACCAGCTCTTAAAATATGGAAAAAATAACAGTCCCTACAATTTATAGAAAATTAGCCCTCCCCCTTATCATCAACATGAAAAATCACATGAACACATTCTCATTCCCAACCAATTCTCTCAAAAAAATCACCATCTTCAACAGAACTGCTGCTAAGCACTGACAAAATACAACTTCCAGCAAAGACTTCATATGCATACAGCATTACCTGTATCTGCTCTTTGTTGCCTGCAGTGATGTTTGAGATGGTCCAACATGCCTCCTTCTTAATGCTCTTCTTGTGATTATGTGTCAAGAGTGTAAGGAGGCAGGGAAGCGCCTGATTGTTGATAATATACTGCAAATAAATCAAACAGATTGTAATAATAGAGCTCAATTGTCCAAAACACAGTTCAGGAATGCTAAACTTTCATACTTTATGAACTATAAGTTTTCGTTCATATTTAAGTACACAATGTTCCTCAGCATTCTTATTTGTCTAATCGAACGTTGGCAGTACCTGAGTTTGCACATCATCCCCAGTAACTATATTTCCAACTGTGCGAAGTGCAGGGATAAGGACGGAAGGAGAAGGATGCCTGACCAAAGAACCAAGTACAATGAGTACCTTAAGAAAATTATAAAAATAATGGCAAAGAAATAGTAAAGGACAATTAATTGCAAAATTTATTGTCCAAACCTATATAGGACTGAACTTATCCAAGCTATGTTTTGACAGTTGAAAACTTATTTCAAAATCTCCCAGGCTCATAATTGTCACTCTTATGTTACAAATTAATCAACTAAACACTTTTTCCTAATTCAGATTTCTGAAAGTGTCATCTCATAACTAAAAACATTAATTGTTTTCAAAAGAATCACAATTTTTCAAAATAGGACCTAATCTTTCATTGAAAGACAACTGTGAAATAATCTTTCGTTGAAAGACAATTGTTTTAATTTATCAAATAATATGGAATCTTTTTTAAGAACAAAAAGTTGTGACCTATTATGCCATGGATATGGACCTACATCATCAAAATCAACCCAAGCCCAGTTTCCTTGAAATAACCTAATGTGCCAGATGATTTCTCCAGTATCTAGCAATGGCCTACTTTACATTAAATTTTCATTCTGGACATACAATTATTCACATCAACTAATATTCTCTGATGCAGTTCTTGTTATCCAATTTGTCTTGAATCTTTCTCATGTTTTATTTGAGTTTCCATTCAACAAACAAACAACTATTCTCTGATATGGACTTAAGTTTGAGGGGAACATAACTCAACAAAGCAGAGCTAGATTGCTAAGAAAATTAGTTTGTCGGATAAGTAAATAGGGGGACAACAGAAAAACTTTTACCCTAAATAAAAAACAGCAATCAAGAAAAGTAATCTACTGGACTTACATCAAGAGTTCAACAAGTCTCCGACAGACACCAGCTTCAATCACAGCCTGAATTTTGTCATTTGTACCATCGGAAAGGTAGGAAAGCGCCCAGCATGCATCTGTCAAAACTTCCTCATCGGTTGAATGAATCAGCCGCTCCAGGGCTGGAAGTGCTGGCCTAGTCTGTTTCACCACTCAAATTAGAAGGATTTAAATTTTTTCTTTGACAAGCAAAAGTTAGAAAGATAATTTTAAGAAGAACAAACAAGGAACAGACAGATTTTAAAAGAAACAACTGAGTATGTTCCAGACCTGCTCAAATGGTGGCTGAGGTTTACCCCTGCAGAAGTTTGAAAGGGTCCATGTAGCATTCCTTAACATTGAAAGCTTAGCATGCTCATTCAACTGGGCCAATAGTGGCATAAGAGCTCCTTGGCTGAGCACAAGATCTCTACATTTTGGAGAGTCTCCAGCAACATTGCCCAATGCCCAAACAGCCTACAATAGCGACACAAGGAACAAATCAACACAAGGAATAAATCAACAAACAAAACTAAAAGGAATCCTAATAAAGACTAATGATATGTGATGTTTAAAACCCATTACCAAAAATTTTTACTTACGATTTCACTCTAGACGCACCAGAGAGGTCATATTGGTGAATGACATATGGCAATAAGAATAAACAAATAAAGTTTACTTACTGACAATAACATAGCATACCTGTTCTCGAACATCATCACTGGGAGAGGAAAGAAGCTGTACAAATATGGGAACTGCACCTTGGTCAATCACAACCTTGGTATTGTCTGATGTTCCAGATGCAATATTTGTGAGGGCCCAGGCTGCCTCAAACTGCAATCACCATATAAGTAATAAAATAGGTTTTGACAATTACAATATCTGAGGGGCTGCCTTGTGCCCTATTAATTGGCACCTAATAACAACCACTGAAATAAAATTTTCCTTCTTTCCCTTGAAAGCATAAAATAGGAAGAATATAAGTGCCAAAACAGTAACCATGCTAATACCTGAAGCTGAGGGAAGTCCTGCCTCGTAAGAAATTGAACAAAACGAGGCACAACACCAGCTTCGATAACTTCCTCAATAGGAGGGCTGCGCTCTGAATCACAAAACAAAATAACATCTCATAGCAGATTTTCACTAATAAGAATTTCAATGTTTAAAGTTGCATATATAGCACATGGAATCTCATACAGCAGAGGAAAAAAACTGAACAGTACCTATAGAAAGTAGCTTCCGGAACTGTGTGGTTGCTTCAAGCTGCATGGCACTATCCTCGGAATATATCTTTGCCACCATATTAGGAAGACTTTCAAGCTGCGAAAGGCCAAAGTAATTAGAAACACAGATTATACAACAAATCTAAGATTCACATAAACACGAAACAGCTCTCTTTGCCTATCAATGCGGATAAATACTTTTTTAGGACGAAGAGAAGAAAAAAAGAGAAATAGGTCAAGAAAAATAAACTATCCAATTTCAGAGTTATAATCAATGTTTTAAAACCAGGACTCCCTGGTGCTCATCAGAGTGAGTCAACTCAGGACTCATCGTATCTCACCTGAGTTGGCTCAGTTGAACCAAAAAAAAATGAAAATTCAGAAAGAATAAAATAACATAGAAAATAAAAAAAATAAAAAATAAAGATAAGAAGAAAACCGATATAGAAAATAAAAAAATGATGTTAATTTGATTTTATTGGTAGACACTTTTCCTATTTCAGAATTCAAAATCTCCCAAATCCAAGATTTTGAGTGACTTTCTGATGGAAACTGACTCAATAGACAATTCAAAATTAGGTTTAGGGGAAATTTTTCAGGTTGGATTGAGATAAGAATTGTGAAATCAACTTCAGCCAAAGCCTAGTTCCAAAGAATCTCACAAATCCAAGATTTTCTACACGTTTTGCTGAATCTGATTTTTTTCAGATAGTGAAAAGAGGAGAGGCCAAGGGTGAAGTTTGAGGGAAAAAACTCAAGCTCAAAAGAAGGTAAAAATGGAGGAAATAGGGGTTGAATTCCTGCCCCTTCCTTTTCGAGTGATCTTTTATTGGACTCGGTCAGTTTCTATGGACATGCCAAGTTAGTCAGAAACGCCCCAAGTTGTGACAATACTCACCCAAGTTGCAAGAGAGCTCAGGCGAGTAGTGATTCAGTAAACCTGGCACATTTGGGGTGTTCCTGGCTAGACAGGCTATCAAGCCTGAGTAAATCTGGACTAGCTGACTTTTCAAACACTGGTTATAATCATATCAACCCTATTAGGAGCCTAATAGATAAGACCACACAACGACAAAAAAGGGACAACAGAGAGAAAAAAAGATCTTTTTTTGGGGGAAGGGTTGGGGGAGGGGGAGGGATTCAGTTTCTTTGATAAGGAAAGACGAGAGAGAGAGAGAGAGAGACCAGCTTCATATATTTGCTTGACAAGGGCAATGAACATAAGAGAGAGAATCAAGTGCATTTTTCTTTTGACTTATGAAATAACAAGGTGATATAGATACAGAGTCAAGCTTGTTGGTTGATAAAGATGGTTAGAGAAAGACAGAAATAAACTCAAAAAAATATATATGACAACCAACAGGAAATTTGGAAGCACCAAACGTGATAAAAAATAAACTCAAAAAATCAAAAAATCCACAAGGAATAACTAATTGGCAGCAAAAACAATGATCATAAAGAAAAACCAATAAAAATATTATGCACCCCAAACATCGAGAATAAAAAAGAAAGCAAGACAGGAAATGATATTTTTAGAGTCTTACCTTCTTGTCCATAGCAGAGGGCTGTACAGTGGGAGCAAACTGAGCCTGCATCCCTTCTCTCCTCTTCTTTTGGAGGCTCTCCTCCCTCTTACTCTTCCTGATCTCCACCATGTTGTCCTCACGCTTCCTTCTTGCCTCATCTGCATCGACTGCAACCTTATAGTTCTTCTTCCGAACTTCAGCACGTGAATTCGGCCTTAGAGACATCTTTGCCAACCCTAGACACCCAAACAAATAATAACTTAAAAGAATAGTCAGAAGTCTTGCCTTAGCGACATCTAACTAAAACCTGAGAATCTCACAATAATTATGAGTGTAACTCATAGATAAAGAAAAAAGCTTTGGGCTTGTGGCAGAATACAAACAAAAAACAACTATCCTGAAATCCCAAACATGTAAATAACATGTGACATTGCAAACATAATTTTCCATGAAATACCATCATGTCAGAAAAATAAACTCACACCCAACTCCAAATTTATAAATCATAGAAAGTCATGAGCAAATTCCATAAAACAAATAAAAAATGGTAAGTGTTAAAGCCAACGATGATATGCAAATACTAGATAGTCAACATAAAAAAAAAAACACCCCAAACCTGCAAGCCCCTATAACTCGAACAAAGCAAAATCATTAAACCCTTAAACCAAACTGACGAACCCTAATAAGGTGACCTAATCAACAAATCAAACCCTAAAAACTAACCTTATAAAAGCCTTGGAGCTCCATCATGAAAAGGCATCGACAAAAATGAAAATCAGTACCCCATTAATAACAACCCAAAAGATATAAATATAAATCAACTCCCATGTCCACAGTTTTTACGAGCCTAACAACGGAACCAAACCAGTAAAGGCAGTCATTTAGACCCTAGAACCCACCCGTGCGGAAACACAACAGACAAAAAAAATGAACTTTTTTTTTAACCGTTACTAAAAAGGCTATTACCACAAAGGCATCCACAAATTAAACCCTCAAAGAGAACCCTAAAAACAAAGCACAATACATGAAAAAAGGGAAATTTAAATCTCACATCTCCCAGACCACCCTACTACCCTAGTGAAACAACCAAATCAGCACATAAGAACCCTAACCTAGAAGACCAATAGAGCAAGCAAAAGCCAATCCAACCACCAAGTGAACCCTAATCCAATGACAAATCACCAGAGAGAACCTTAGAAGAAACCTCACAAACCCTGTAACCCAAAATCTACTCGAAACCCTAAGCATCCATAAGAATCCGAAATCAATTCAAACATCGTATAGATCCCTGTGATCTGATCCTAAATAACATTAATGAAAAATAAGAAGGCAGATAAAACACTGCAATAACACGAGAATCCACAACTTGGAGGCAAACCCTAACCTATGATCGATAAAAAGGAAACCTCTTTTACTTACAAATCTTAAAATCTCTCCCACATCCAGACCCTAACCAAAAACTACATAAAGAAATAAAAAAACGAGGCTCAAAGCAAAAGCAATAAATCAAAACTTTCAAAGTAACTCAATAAAAAATTGAGTACATAAACCAATAAAATCTCTTGTGTTTTGATGGATCGAAAGAAAAAAACCAGAAATGCATTACAATTAAAACTAGTTACATTTAAAAGGGGGAAAAACACATGGGAACCCTAACTTTCGAATAAGAGGAAGCAAAAAAAAACCTAAATCCGCATCAATTGAGAGAAACATTTCAATGAAACAACCGCAAACATAAAGAAAAGAACGTACCTTGAAGGAGGAGTCTAGAGAGAGAGAGAGAGAGAGAGAGAGAGAGAAAGACAGGGAGTCTACAGAGAGAAGGAGAAAGAGTGGGTTATGAAAGAGAGAGTGGAAGCAGAAGGCGGCTCTCAGATGAAAAAACGAGGTTGTGGGTTGGACAAAAGGGGATGGTCAGATCGAAATCGGGCCGTCGATCTTCGTCATCGATCTCAGATCACAACCGTCGGTTGCTTCTTTTAAAGTTTCGAATCGACGGTCGCTATTTGCTGAAAACAGAATGGGTGTTCTGACAGTGTGAACGAACCGGCCCTTCTTTTCCTTGAATAAATATGAGGGGGCCCGTCCTGTCCTCTTCTCCGTATCTTCTATTTTTATTTCCTTGTTAATTTCCTTGGGCCTTTTTCGGAAAATTGACATAAAACACCTCGCCCCCCATAATAATCTTTGTAAACACTTTACCCCCAATTGAACTTTTCTTAACAAATTTTTTTCCAAAAACGATATTTCCTAACAAATAACCCCCAACTCAAAAAACAAAAAAAATAGACTAAAATACCCCTCCCTTACCCACACGTAAGTCCGGCACTGAAGTAACTGGAATTGGCCCAGTTCGGAGTTTCGAAGGGACAATCCGGCACTTCAAGCGGTTGGTCCAGCAGTTTTAGGAGGCAGTCTCGCACGAGGTCATTGCAACTCGTTGGTCTGGCGTTTGGAAGGGACAATCCGACACTGAAGTCACTGTAAATGGTAAAGTCCAGAATTTGGAAGGAGCAGTCCAGCACTGAAGTCACTCGAATTGGCCCAATCCGACGTTACAAAGGGGCAGTTCGGCGAATATGTCAATGGAGGGTGCGATCCGGTGTTTGTAAGACGCGGTCCGGCGACTATCTTTGCTGTCCGATGTTTGGATGTTGCGGTCTGGGGATTTATGCTACTGGAGGGGCAATCCGACATTTTACAAGTGCGGTCCGGCAATTGAACCTGGATTAATGAGCGATCCGGCATTTGTGAGCTACAGTCCGGCATTTATGTCACTGGGAGGGCAGTTCAACTTTTGGCAACAGCGATTTGGCGTTTTCTTTTATTGGATCTAAAAATGATTTGTTATGTATGGGAAGGGTCCCTTCATCTAAAAAATGAACTTTTTGTCTTGGGGGTTATTTGCTAGGATATGTAGTTTTGAGGAAAACATTTTTAGGAAAAGTTAGGTTGGGGGTAAAGTGCTTAGGAAGTTCATTTGGGGGGTTTTATGCAATTTTCCCTTTGGAATAACTCTTTTTCTTTTCTTTTTTCTTTTTTTTTTTTTAATGTGAACATCTCCTTTTTAATTACTGTCAAAATCTATATACAAATATTTGTTTTAAACCTTACGAAAGAGAATGAGCCTAATACTATTGGGGACAGTTTGGATGTACTAGTTATCACTAATAATTTTAATAAAATTAATTTGAATAAAAAAATAAACGTTGTCTGGCAGCATCAATCGTAAGTTATGTTTTTAGCTAAAAATAACTCAAAACAACTGGAAATTTCTAAATAAATAAAAATACAACAATGTGATAAGATAGTTAATATTGAAAAGATTCAATTATCTATTCATTGAGAGAGAGTGGTGTTTAAATACAAATTGTAACAATATAGGTGAACGGCTAATCCCTTAATTGTAGGGATTTTCCTAACAATACACAACTAATTATCCACATGGTTTACAGTAGTTGTAGATATATATGATTACGAGGCTGAGTCTTCATTAGCTGATGTGCAAGGCCATATTGTAATTCTCCCCCTCAAGCTGAAGTATGAGTGTGAATAATACTCAGCTTGCTTAATAGAAAATGAAATTGAGCGTTGTCTAGTGCCTTAGTCAAAATATCAGCAAGTTGAAATTTGGTGGATATATGAGAAGTATTGATTAGCCCATTTTAGATCTTTTATCTGATGAGATGGCAATTGATCTCAATGTGTTTCATTCTCTCGTGAAAAACTAGATTCGCAACGATGTGAAGAGCTGCGTGATTGTCATAGTGGAGATGCATTGGCTGAGGATGATGGATGCCCAAATCTGAAAATAATGTTTTCAAACATGTTAACTCACAGGCAGTGGTTGCCATGGAGTGGTATTCAGCCTTTGCTGATGAACATGAGACAATAGATTGTTTCTTCGTTCGCCATGACACTGGATTGCTCCCAAAATAAGTAATCTAACTTGTCATGGAGCGTCGCGTAATTGGGCAGCTAGCCCAATCAGAATCACAATAGGCCGATATTTGTAATGAGTTGTTTGAGGACAAAATGAGTCATTGGTTAGGTGTGCTTTTAAGGTAGCGTAGAATTCTTTGTGCAACTGCAAGGTGAGGCTCTCGGGGATGGTGCATATATTGACTAAGAATGTGAACCGTAAAATTAATGTCGGGACGAGTGATAGTGAGGTGGATGAGCCGCCCAACGAGTCTTTTATAGGACTCTGGGTCAGAAAGCAACTTGTCATTCTCATATGAGAGTTTTAAATTCTACTCCATATGAAAGAGTACAAGTTTAGAGCCTAAGAAACCCGATTCTTTTAAGATATCAAGAATATATTTTTACTAAATAAGTAGAATTCATTGAGGTAACCTTGCTACTTCGATCCCAAGAAAATACTTGAGTTTGCCAAGGTCTTTGATGTGAAACCTTTGTTTGATAAAATCTTTGAGCTTTTGAATATGAGCCTCAGTATTTTCTGTGATGATGATATCATCAACGTACACTAGAACAACAGTGATAAACATGCTACATTTGAAAATGAATAAGGAGTAATCTACAGATGATTGCTTGAAACCAACATAAATGAGTGCATGTGAGAATTGTTTAAACCAATTCCTTGAGGCTTGTTTCAGCCCATAGAGAGATTTTCGAAGTCGACAAACTTTGTTCTCCCCCTCTCAAGCAAACCCTGGTGGTATTGACATATAAACTTCTTCATCCAAATCACCATGTAAGAAAGGGTTGTTGACATCAAACTGGTAAAGATTCCAATTTTTTCAAGCTGCAACAGCAAGCGAGCCCCTAACTATAATTAGCTTGGCGACGGGTGCGAAGGTTTCATGATTGTCTAAACCTTCCTTTTGGGTGTACCCTTTCGCAATGAATCGTGCCTTATACCATTCGATGGTCCCATCTGCTCTGTACTTTATCTTGAATACGCATTTGCATCCAATAGGCCATTTTCCAAGGGGTAGAACTTGTATGGTCCAGGCCTTGTTTAACTCCAGAGCAGTGGTTTAAAAAACGGATCGGTGGCCCTGATGGGGCACCCCAAAAACCCATTTGGATAGGGAATCGACCGAATCGGTCGGATTAAGCTGTAAAAAAAATATAAATAAATTATTAAAATTTATTATAAATGTTGTTTTTTAGGAATCCAATAAGAAATCGGGATACTATATTGTTAATTTTCATTCTTTTCATCAATATGTGAATATTTAGATATTTTTTCTCTGTATGAACTTATTATAACCATTAAATTACATCACACAAAATAAAAATCATAGAACTATCATGGATGAAGTATATAATAATACATGGACTACAATAAGAGCATTTTAGTTTTTTTGACAAAAACCTTTTATTTTTTTACAAGAAATGTTTGTTGTATTACATTTTTTTTTTTGTTTTTAGCAAGAACCTTTTTTTTGACAAAAAATACTTGTTGTATTAATTTTTTTTTATAAGAACTTTTTTTTTTTGACAATAACTTTTATTACTTTTTACTTTTTAAACAAAAACCTTTTATTTTTTTGACAAAAAAAAAAGAAATTTGACGAGAAAAATAATTGATAAGAACCTTACATTTTTTTTTACAATAAACTTTTTATTTTATTGATAAGAAAAAAAATTGACAAAAAGCAAAATTGATAAAAAGAACCTTTCATTTTTTTATAAGAAAAAAAATTGACAAAAAAAAAAAATTGATAAAAAAACCTTTCATTTTTTTTCTGATGACAAAAATACTTGTTGTATTATTATTTTTTTATAAGAACTTTTTTTTTTTGACAATAACTTTTTATTACTGTTTTTTTTTTTTGACAAAAACTTTTCACTGATAAAAAGCGACATTGATAAAAAAAACTTTCATTTTTTTATAAGAAAAAAATTTGACCTCAAAAAAATAAATTTGACAAGAAAAAATAAAAATTGACAAGAAAAATAGTTGATAAGAGAACCACCTTTCGTCCCAAAGAGAATAGAACCCACGCTCTCCATATAAGGAAAGAAAGTTATAACCAATAAGCCACATATTACTTAATAGTATTAAAAGCGCAAATAAAATATATAATATATTAATGTTTCAAGTTAATACCTTCACATTATATCACATCGAAGAGGTAGAAGGAAGTTGTAGTAAATAAATACCTATTTGTAGTTAACGAGGATAACGCGTTTGAAGTGAGAAGAATCACGAGACGAGGTGTGCGGACCTCAAGGTTAGTGTACGTTTCAAATTTTACAAAAATGCCCATTGAAGAATCGGCGGGCCATGACATCATGAATCGAAGAATTGGGATAATCATGACGTCACATGGCGATTTACAGCATGAAATCGCCGGTTCTTCTCTAGAACCGGGTGATTTTCGATATTGTAGTGGAACCGGCATGGGGTCTGCCGATTCCCGAGTCGAACCGGGCGAGTCCGATTTGACTCGCCGAGTTTTCAAACCTTGCTCCAGAGCATTTATCTCTACTGTCATTGCCTCACCCTAAAGAGGGTTTATAATAGCTTGGGAGAAATTATTGGGTTCTTCATAGGAACATATAGTGGAGACAAAAGCTTTATAAGTTGTCGAAAAAATTGTTTGGAGTAAGAAGATGTTGTATAGGGTAAGCTTTATCTAAGGGTGGCATGATGGAGGAGAGTCATTGACGTGATAGATTGTAATCGACAACCAAGCATATGTAGTCCTGAAGTTTATGTGGCTTAACATGAGTGCAAGAGGACCGGCGAAGAATAGGTTGTGGTGATGGATCGTGATTAAGCACTTGAGGTGATGGCGAATCTGTATGAGACTTGAGGTAAGGTAGGAACATGAGGAGGCTTTTGATGACTTGTTTCAACGATGGGTGGAGGTAAGTCATA